TTTTTTAAATATTTTTTGTATCTGTGTACACGATAAGTAGTCGAAAGAATGCTTCGATTTTAAACTTCAGTATCTTGTTTGATGGGAAAATTAATCTAGTTACTGTATTGAGGAAGCCAAAATTTAAAATCCCCCGTTCTTTTCAAAAACGATAAGAAAAACAAAATAAAAAAATAAAGAATAACGAACATTTTTATGCAAAATCGGTTTTTGACAAAATCGATTTTGGTTTTTGGTGTAACTCTATCACAAATAACTGTAGATACATAATATTTTCACTGATTGTATATATTCACATTTTCTATACACGATACCATTTTAAAAATATTTCGAATTGTTTTGAACTGTTTACGGATATTTTCAGTTTCAGTTTTTTTAGTTTTTTTTCTATAAATATCAATTAAATTGTATTTATTGGGTAAAAAAGCTAGACAATTTAATACAATGCTCCTAATATATTGTTACAATGCCAATTCAAAAAAAAAAAATTAATTTTAACCACATCGGATATTCACTGGATTTCTAAAGGAGCAATTTTCTTATCTAACTGTAATTCAAAAACGAATAACCGTAGACACTTGAAATTTATATCGTATGTTTATTTTATCAATTTCTATAGGTAATTGTTAACATTTTTAAAATATTTTAAATGTCTTAGAGTTGTTTACAGACATTTTAAATTTTTTTGTTTTTATTTCTATAAATGTCAATAAAATTGTATTTGTAGGGTCAAAAAGCCCTAATACAAAGCGCGTATTATCCTTTCACAATATTAGTTAAAAAAACATTAAAATACATAGGTACAATTTTTTTTTATAATCATTTTAAGTTCAATTTTTGACAACATTTATTAAATTTAAAATTAAAAAATGATTTTGTAGTTAGAAATAAAATACATTTTTATAGTTAAGGGTTGAAGATTTAAAACAAAGTTCCGCGTAAGTAGGTTTTTGGTTTATAACCGAAATTTTAAAAAAAAAACAAATTTTTTTATGGTTATTTTATGTTCAAATTTGTACAAAATCACATATTAAATAACTAAGAATAACAATTCTAGTTATTCTGTCGTAATTTTATAATATTAATTCAGCTTACCGGCTTACTGCATTAATAATAACTTATTAATAAGTACCTATTAACAATATAATATAATATTGTTATATTGTAATATAATGTGTAAAGAATGATTGAGCATATTATACCTATAGCTTTTTAACAACATGATTGATCATAGAATATTTTATGCGACTTTGCCACATTTACGTTGCCGACATTTTTATAATTTATTATTTTCACCAATTATTATGATACCAAACTAAAACGTGAGCCATGAGCTGAGCATAGCTATATCGATTAATGTTAACGATTAATAAATTAGTTATAGAGCAATAAATATTAGTCTTATCCTTAATATACTACGATGTTTTAAACAGTTAGTGTCTAGGAAAATATAAGATAATTAAGATACAATTTCATAAATTATCATAGAAATATCAGTTGTACAAAAAACGGTTTTATAAAATGTGAATATTATTGACTATGATTTTTTTAATTTGTACCATATTTTAAATTATTATAATTTTTGAAATAAATACTTTTCTGAATAATATAGGTAGTTAAAAATTTAAAATGACAACGTTGCAGAGTTTTTTATGCTCAACCGTGTAGGTTTTCATTTGTATATCATTGTATATCGTATTCTATATCCTTTGATACAAACGCAAATTTTCTCAATCGTGTCGTATCCTAATGTAAAATATCCACACTAACAAAATGCCTCCGCTCAGAATCGTTTTTTGTATACGATTATATTATATCATTGAGTATTCAAATTTAATACTATCCATTATACATTGACCCACTTGTAACCTATTGTATAGCAGAGCGTCATCCATCTTTTTTTTTTCTTTAAATTATTTTTATCTCTTGCTGGAAACCCTATTTTGATTTAAACCAATGCTAAATTGTAGTTATTCAATCTTTAAGAATTTAATTAATTTTTCAAGTTTTCAATGAAATAAAATCCTGAGAAGATTAGTTAAATCTGTGAATGGAGTTCAGTTAAAACTCTTGTTATTTTTTTTCTAATTCGATTATCTCTAAGTGAATTTAAAGTTATGGCTTACACTAGGGCACTATAATATAATTTCCCGGTGTATTTTATTTTACAAATTAGAAACAATTTTATGAATGTTAAAAAAATTTTTCAGACAGTTAATTAAGAAACAGTCATAGAAATAACTTAGTTTATATATAATTATTGCAACATTTTAGTGGGTTTTGGGAAAATTAATCAAAGCGTACAGCCAAGTTAAAGAAACTTTTATTGAATAAAAATCTCACAGATAATTTTGTTCTGATTCAGATACTCTAATTTTGACGAAATTGTATTACACGGTTAAGTTGGGCAAGATTTGGTTTTTTTCAACTACACAAAATTTAAAATTATTAAAAAATATTTAAGCAAATTGTAGTTTTAAGTAAAATAAAAATAACTCATTATTGTTCAAAATGTAATGATAATATAATAGGTTTTACTATTTTATTATTTTTTTTCGGAAATTAAAAAAAGCTTTGATCGCAAATTATTCCCATATTCAATATCCTAAAATCAACTTAAAATGGTGAAAAAAAATTATTACTTAAATAATAGTAAATAATATAATATTGTTGAATACTGGTATTCTAAAATCTCTGAATAAAATAACTAATTAAACCTATAAATTACTATAGGTATTCAATAACATCAGATACCTCGGGAAAATCCAATTATTGTTGAAAATAAGAAATATTAACTTATATTTTATGCACTAAAATACCAATAACTTTTACTATAAATTTATGTTAAAACTATGATTTAAATATGTAATTAAACTTGTTATGGTATAGTCCAATACTTAAATTACAGTTATTTGATCCAACTCAATATGAAATATTTATAAGGGTATAAATACCGGTATTTTATACCTAATTAATACTAAGAATGCTTGACATAAAACGTTAATTAAATATTTGTGTTCATATTCTTGCTAAAATACATATTTTAAAATATATATGAAAATTGTAACAAGATTATATAGATTAAGATGACATTTTAATTTTATTGTTTTCTCAGTGGTATAGTCATACATATTTTTACTTTTGTTATTTATTTTAATTATTACAAAATAATAAAATGCATAAACATCTAGGTATCAAAAGATAATATTGCTCATGTACAAATTATTGTTCGTAGGTATTTGTATTGGTGAAACACAATTATAGTGATTGTGAACAATGGACAATGTTATAATTGAAAGATAAATCATATAGTGTAAACTAATAATTACAAAATAAAATCTATGGCATTGTGTTAATAATAATTATAATTGTGTTGAATGATGTGAAACACAGAATAAGCATGAAAATGCATCATGAGAGTCGTTTTATCATTGAACACATTGTAATATTTTATTACTCAGATAATGGTTAACTCCTACAAAAGAGTATAGAGTATTAATTCCTACACGAGATAATATTGGTAACTATACATTTATATAAGTAAGCTTTTTTAAAAGGAAAGTTTGAAGAAATAATAATTTCTATAAGACATTTTATAATTTATATAAACAACTCACTTTTATAATTTATGATACATTATTTACATTATTATATGTATATTCATATAAACCAAATTACTTCTACAAAAAAAATATAAATGGGAATAAAAACATAAGTATTTAATATTTATGTATTAAGTGACAAAAAAAATGTTTACTGATTAGGTTTTAAAAGCGGAAACCACGTGAACAGATGACTCCTACATTAAAATTGTGGATTTGTCGGATAATTTAAGAATTTCTGATACGGCCTTTTTATCTTTCAGATCTGGAAAGATTAAGATGTAGTCGTACATATAATATTTTCGGGAATTTTCGATACCACTATATCATTTCCATATATAGTGCATAAAAACGTTCAGAAAGTGTTCGAAGTTTATTTATATAAATTACAACTCAATTTAATATTATTTAATATTTGTCAAACTAACGTTTTGAAAATCTCTTCAAAAGTAAACATGTGATAAGAATTATATTTTTTTTTCTACTAAAGGCTGACTATTTTGAGACATTACAAAATTGTATCATCAAGTAAAAAGGTCAGTGCAGGAGATTACATCATTTTTTTTTCAGGTAAAAAGGTCAGTGTAGGAGATTATACAATCTTTTATTTTCAGGTAAAAAGGTTATTCGTGTAGGAGTTTACATTTGGAATATAAATCGTAATCGTATTTCACCATTTACAAATGTTTTTACACTAACATTTTTATATATCGTATTATGAACCAATTAATTAATTAGTAGAATAATAGAACTATTGATTATGTACCTCATGGTCTCATAGTAAATTTATTTATTTTTTAAAAATATTTAAAAAAAATACAAATATTAAGCTGCCTTCCATAGTTTCGATACATACATGCTGTTAAATTGCCTATACAACACGCCATGTAAAATTTATTCCACAATAACACAGACAATTCTTTATTAATATAATATTTTTTTATTTTTATTTTATTAATGGTACAGCACCAACAAGGTTATTAGCTTACTACAAAAATAATATTATTTTAATATATATATATTAATGATATAATAAAGTTATGACGTATGGTTAAGTTATTACTGATCATTTGTGTAACATATTTTTTTAATTTTATTGTCAGATGATTTAATCATTATCTGGTTAACTAGGCAAATATACATAGTTGGTAATATTGCGACCACTTTTGGTATGACAATAATAACACAAGTATATAGGTACATTATTTGACTTTATATACCTATAAACAAGTAATTATTATATTAAAAAATATCATTGAACTAAAAACTAAAATTAATTCTAAAATTTTACAAAACTTGAAAAGTTCATAAAACAAACAATTGTTTTATGTTATTTAAATTAACATATCTTAATACTCAAAATGTTTATATGAAGTATTTGATCAATTAAATCCTTACCTTTGGTTTTAATATGGTCAAAATGTTTATCAGCGGTGTTAATCTCGAGTTCCAATGCCTTGACAAACCATCTTTCACCTCCAAGAGTCTAAAATATCAAAACAATTGTGTTTTTAATTTCAAAATAACATATTTTTGTGTTAATATATATATTATTTTTATTATTTTTATTGTTGTGTATTTAAAATAAACACCATTACTTCACTATTTCCGTTCACTTCTTCTAACTAAGCTTAATTTAATTTTTACAACATAATATTAAATTTAACAAATTATTATACAGAACTTGATAGTTGATTTTTAATTTTCAAAACAATACACAAAATTATCAATGCATTTAAAGTATTTGTATCCTTAAGTCTTAATAAATTAATTTGAATTTAAAACTCTAAATATCTCATTTTTCATTTAAAATCTTAATTCTAAATATCTTGTTTAAAAAATTTAATTTTTAAATTTTTTACATACGATTAAACGTATTATATATTAAGAACCAATAAACATTTTGTTTATATGATTATTAAATAAATATAACATTTAAAATTATTATTTCAGAAATATCTTATATTTGTTTACAGTGTGTATATTTATTTTTTGTTTGAAAAATTAACTAAGACTTTTAGGTTCTCGAAATTATTATTTACCAAAATTTGTTCACAAAATCTATGTTTAATTTTAATCACTATGTAAATGATAATTCTATGTTTTCACAAAAAAATAATTATGTCATACTTTTTAACAATCATTATATTTCTAAATAATATATTATTGTATTAACAATTATGATAAAGCGATAACCACCGATGAAGATAGGATATTTTTCTGTAAAATAATTTAATTTAATTTTGTTTATGATGAATATTAAATACTAAGAATATCTAATCGAATAGTTGAAATTTAATTTCGGTTTTATGTTTCAATGCAAGTTTCCGTTTGCAATAGAAAATGTATTAATTGCTAAGAATTTGATATAAAATATCTAATGTCATAAATTATTATACTGTGTATATATTTTAACAAATATGTATTTATATGCAAAATTATTTAATTATTTTAACACACCTATCTATCATAATATTATTAAATTACCTTTTTACAATATTTATTTTTATTCCGAAATAAAATGCATAGCATTATAGTTCAATGGTAATTGAAAAATGTTTGTTCAATTTATAAATAATCACTTTAAAATAATTTTGGTAATATACCTTTTATTGAGCTAAATATTGGAAAAAAAACAAAACACAGAAATCAACTCATTTCTCAACTCAGCTTAGTCTTAGAAAGGAAACAATAAGAAAATTGTTTGACATTTATTTGTATAAAATACATTAGTATCATGTATGTACATAAAAATTAGTTTAATATATTATCGAACGTTAAATTTGAGTACCCAATTTTGATAAGTGGTTTTGGACGTATATATGAACTTTAATCGACAGACGTGATACAAAGTTCTAGAAGAGTGTAATATAAACACGTGTATCGTATATGAAAATAAAGTATTATATTATTATGTACTAGAAATGTTTTTGAATCAAATGATTCCTGAAACCACTAAGTACTAATCGAATATTTCTGAGTCTCTTTCCTCCGAAATATAATTCAAGTATTATAATTTGATACACTGAAAACATCAGCACAATAATTCATTGGATCGATAAGAAGACAATTAAACAGTGCATACACCACACAATATAGTTTGAAAATAAGCATAATATAAATATAGGTACTTAAATATATAATTTTAATTTGGCTGACTGTTTTTTTTTTAACTGTAAAATATCTTAACTTGCATAATACACGTATAATTAGTAATTAGGTATAATTAAGTATAAAATATGTGTAATATAAATTAATTTTCTCCGAGTATAACCTATAGTTTACTAATTATGCAACTAAAGCCTACCTATATTATAATTAATATTAATCCATACATCAAGGAAGTTAATTAAAATCACGTTTACTTAAAGATAGAATGATCTAGGTATACACTGTGGTTTCTTATATAAATATTAATATACCTACTTATTATATGAATAGATAAAGAGTTTTTCGAAAATACTACCACAGGTTGGTTAATTATAACTAAAGTCGTACTAAAGATGTTTGATAGGTACAATACTTTAGAGGACCAACGTAAAATATAGAAAGTTTAAGTTCAGCCGTTTCAATTTGTGTAGTAGGTAGTAAGCTTTAATAATTGAGTGAAATTAAATATTATCAGACTTAAGAGTAAGAACATTATCTATGGTTTCACATTGGTTTTTAAGACATTTCAATTTTTAAAAAGTTGTTAATATGTAAAATATTACAATTAATAAACTAAACTTACAAATTGAAACTTGTATAGTAAAAATCCATTTGAAAGCATATACAATATGTATACATTTAAGTTTTATAATATGGCAATTATATCTATTATTAATGGTGTTTGCACAAAATTGTAACTGCTAAATACAAATTTACTGTGGAACGTTCATAATACGGAGCAACACAATATGTAAGTGTGCCGTACTTAATATAACAGTATATGTTTTATTGTAAGATTATTAATGATTATATTAATTACTTTATGAAATAATAACTTAAGTTTTTAATCCATATTGAATCGAACAATACAATTATATTAATACAATTATTGATAAATGTGAATTTTTATTTATTTATTTTTATATTATACTTAAATATACCCAACTAAACAAAAAAATTGTGCCAACTCCGTAGAAAATAACAAGTATTTTATACATTTGAATTGTAAAAAATCATTGTCATAAGTTGAACATTTTTTTGAGTGACTTCAACCCCTCTATTTCATGTTTGTGCCTCCCATTAAAAATACTTTTTTCACCCAACATTTATTAACTTAGTAATTATATTTTTACCTTTGTAAAGTACCAAGTAAAGACAAAATTTTTCCATTTGAGTATTAATGTTGCATCATCCTCATTGCTGCAATCCCCAGTAACTTCTGCATCGTCAGGAACATACAGATCAGTTTGCTGTAGTTCACATAATATCCATAGAATAATATTATAATAAATACAAATTTAAATTGAAAAAAAATATTTCTGACCCTTACGTCTTCAGAACCTAGTTTAGTTTTGAACTTTACTTCAATGACCGCATCTACCCTCAATAAAATACACGTATTACCTTCTTCCTCGTTTAGTCGGAAAAGTGATGCAACAATATTACTTGGTTGAGTAGCTGAGAAAAAAATAATCATATATGTTTTTATTATAGGTTAAAACATTATTTTATAAAATAAAAATATATTACGCTTATATATTGTGTTCAGTACCAATATTACTTACATATTTACCTGGTATTTTAAGTATTTACACTAAATTTAATTATATTTACCAATAACGAAGTAAAAATGCCAACTGCTAGCATATTATCATAATATAACAAACCCGATAGCTACTATATCTTAGATTCTGAGCGGACCGAAAGAATGTATTGATTTTACGATGATAGTGTTTTTTTTTCTATTTGTCAGCAACAATTTGGGTAGTGAAAAAGTTCAGATTTTTGAGATTAGCATCTTTTCTAATATAAAAGTGAAACTAGTTGGTACTTTTAGGAGGTCAAAATCTAAATAAAAGTAGTTTTATAAAACGTCAAGAAAACCAACTTTTGAAGAAAATCGATTTTATTTTTTTGGAGTAACTCAAAAATTAATAACCGTAGACCCTTGAAATCTTTTTTTTGTTTTTTTTGTTTTTGAGATTTTTTTAAAAAGGTCTAAACATTTTTTAAAGAGTAAAAAACCTTAACAATTTAATGCAGGTTTCTTATACATTTCGTTAACGAGAGTTCAATACATTGGATGATTTTTATATGGATTTAAAGTTCAAATTTTGACAAAATGCAACAAAAGTTCGAAAATGTTTAATCTATTTTTCAGTTAGAAGTTCATAAAAGTTTTTCCTTCATAGCTAGCACATGACATATTGATAAGTATCACATGCAGTATTGATAGAAGTTTTCTCAAAAATGTTCCTACCTTTTACAAAAAAAAAACCTTACTGAAAGGTAATAATTTTTTTATGAGCGTTTAAATTTATTATGTTTATGATATTGGATTTTCATCTGTAAATTAACGAATTCCTCATCCATACATTTTGATATTTTAAGGTAATTCAAAAAACAATTATCCTAGATACTTGAAAAATTCAACAAATTTTGGAATGACAATTTTTAATTTATGGTAACATTTTCAAACACTTTTGATGTTTTTTAAACTATTTATAGCCATGAGAAGTATATTAAATTTTGTAAGCTATTTATAATTAGAAATTCATAAAATATTTTCTTTTCATATCTAAGATTAAAAATCATAATAGAAGATTTCGCATAAGTTTTCTACTTTTAATTAAATATAAAGTATTGCGAAAAAGAACGTAATTTTTTTATGTGCATTTGAACTTATAGTTTTTACGATATTTGATATTCAGAGGTAAATTATCGATTTATTATTCAATTTTTAAGATTCTGTTATATTTAAAAACGTAGACTCTTGAAATGTTCACCAAATATTTATAATTGCATTATCCATACAGAATAAAATATTCAAGCGATTTCGATTCTTTATGAACTATTTATAGCCATGATAAAATATTTCAGATTTCATAAATTATTTTTCAGTTAAAAATTCATAAAAGCTTTAATTTTCATTGCTTAAATTAGAAATATTAATAGAAGGTTTCCAGTAAATATTAATACCTCTATAAAAGGAAAATGTTTTCAGAATGTTATGCTATTTATAAGCATAAAATATTTTCGATTTTTATACAATTTTTTTTTAACTATTAAATTTGATTATTTTTATAATTTATGCTGATACAACGTCTCCACTCAGAATCGTTTTGGTATAAAATGATTCACCATTAAATTCAAATATAACACAATGTTGTACATTACAACAACATGCACGACAACTAATGTACATCAGAGGGGTACCCACTTGTTCATTTTTTTTTTTAAATATACACAATAATATAAAATAATATGATACAAAAAGAGGATATTTAGAGGATAAATATATAATTAGAACTTTATAATAGAGTTATAAATTATAATGTACTGACTAATATTTTAAATAGCTTTAGCTTACTTGTTGTTATGTCAGCTTTATTGTATAAAACAGCGCTTTTTCGGACCGACCTCTGAGTTTCATCGTCTGCGTTCGACACGGGATCTAGTGAGCTTTCGTCCGGTAAACGTTTCTAAATATACATGACGATAAAATGATTAATGCTTTTTACATGGTGTGTTATAATTTAACATTTTGTAAACTTAATCCTGACAACCCTATCAAACAATTTGAGATCTCTCACCACAAAGAGGTTTAGGCTCAAGATTTATGATCCCTATTCTATACCTTTCTCTTGTTATGTATATTCGAACACTTTTAGAATTTTTTAATCCTGAGGGATTTATGATGAAGTCACCTTTTTTTATAGGTTGATACCTGCAGGGTGTTGTAAATAAATCCAAGCGTAGGTAGTTTTTCGTTTTTATTATAACGAATAATGTACAACACAAATAGTATACCAGACTTGATATTTAATACGTTTTAATTATATTTACCGTTATAGTTATAATATTGAATTTATAAAAAAATTAAAGGAATCTTGCTTACAGGATATATTTTTATATTTTTGTATCCAGCATTGGTTTTGGGCTTAGAATGGATCTGTGTTAATTTTAAAGTACCATTTACATTTTTGTATGTGTAACCTCTCTAAACGCATTAAGAAAAAACAATTGCAATTAGATATTATTGATTTAAGTTTAAATAATAATGATAAAATAATGCATGTAATATTGAATCCATTTCTTAAAATAATATATTACATTTAAAATCATTTTGAATTTTATAATATAATATAAATATATAAAAAAAAAAAGGTGTAAGGTTTTTTGAAAAAGTATGTAATACCATTAAACCAAAATAAGCTCGTTTTACTTTGAACACGGATTTACACTTGTCGATGTTGGTAAATTCTATTTAAAAATATATATACATGTGTTTAAAGATACAAATCATAACACTTTTAAGCTTTAAAGAACGTATGTATACGGAACATTTTTTTTTCTATGAAATACACACAGAACTTCCATAAGTGGTCATAAACTTATATATAGTCGTTACGCTTTTATTCTCCAGAGAAACTCATTGTATAGTACCCATATTTAGAATCATATAGATGTTAACGGTTGGACTCATTGGCCCCCTAAGATAATACGTTTTAGAATTCTTACGTTCTTTTTGTGAAATTTGTTTGGCATTACACGTATTATAATTCAATAAGAAGACTTTTTTATTAAAGAAAATTACACACAAGTAATACTGTACATTTTTGTAGTTATTAATTTTATTTTATATTTACGGTTCCTTCAATTTTAAAACATTTGAATAAATATTAAAATGATTGAATTATATTTTATATTGTAATTTTTTGTGAGCAATGAAATGCCCGAAAATAATTATAAAATACATACAACCTAGCAAATATAAATGGCTTATGATTATTATGACACTTATAAACCCTGTGGATTAAAACACAAAGGCTAGCTCTATACATATAGCTATATATAATAGCAAATTATTTATAATCAAATTTTTATTTCATCCATTTTTTTATTTTATATTTCATATAAAAGCATTAAGGTGATTATATACCGACCTTTTTAAGGAGATCAATATGAGTAATTTTTAAGTAATACTTGCGTGCGTTTCATGTGAATGTGTGCATAGAAAGTGATCATTAGTATGTGTGCATGTGTACTTGTGAATGTAATATAAAAGAGATAGCGGATCATTCTCGTACGTGTCACTAATCTCTCTAGTCGATCAATAATATTTTTCAATAAATATAATGTACTTTACTAAAAAAAAGTTGCGATACCATATGAAATCGGAAAACTTATAAATTAGTTGTAAAGTTTACTTGATACAATCACAGAAGTTTTAATTTTTTCCTCAATTTTAACATAAATTATTTATAACAAGTAAATAACACTACGAATTTAAATATTGTTTCACATTTCTTATCACATAACTGGTTTTACCAGAATTATAGATACTATTTAAGATACGTATTTTTTCGTAAAAAAAAATGGTCTTAAATGTCATAAACGTCGATTGATAAACTATAATTTAACGTCATAATAATCATAATATCATATCATATGACAAGCCCGATACCACTTTTCATTCTTAGTTTAAGCCAAGCAACACTTTTAGCTGTCAGTTACACACGCAGATAGAGAGATATTGGACAATACCCCTTGATTTAAGCATTCATTTTGAAAAAGTACATACTATGAAACAGACCTATGAAATAAAAAATAAAAAGTAAAATATCTAATCTCAAATTTGATTGAATATTATTTTAAGCTCATCATATTTTTAATTCAAAATTAAAGTTGTATAATATTAACATGTTTTTATAAGAGAACAATAACAATTATTATGATATCAATTCAATTGTACATATCAATCAGTGATCTATAGATATATATTTTAATTATTAAAATTATTTATTTATTTTAAATGCTAGAATTTTTAATCCTGAGGTAGACGGTTCTTGTATATATAAATGCAATGGTCTGTATACAAATAAATATACATTTTTGATAATTTAATAGCTTGATCAACAAAATAATAAACATAAATAAAACATATTCTAAAGTAATTATTTCAGATAATTTATTTTTGAAATATGATAAAATTTAAAAAATAAGTAATTTACATACACATTAATTGATACAAATAAGAATAATATAATTTATATTTCTTCGAATTGCTCATTAAACTGAAGATGAAACCTCTTCACTATTTTATCAATTTAAGGCAGGGTAGGGGATTTCACGATTTTGTTTCGACGTGTGAATCCAGAATACCCTGGGGTATTTCTGAATTTGGCCATATACTTCACTCAATATGGCCGAAAAACATGATTTTATGTTGTGAAATAAATAAACATGATACGATAACGTAACATTTATGACATTTTTTGCCCGCCGTACATTTTTTTTTTTGTTTGCCAATCCCCAATTTAAACTAATATGGTCATTCCAAACATACTATAATATTTTAACATATCTGCAAAGCTCTAAAAAAATGCAGATTATTAATTAAGAATAAAACAAATCGCTTACCACTTTTTGAAATGCTGTAATTGGTGACCATTTTGTGCTATTTTTTTCATTAATTTGTAAAGCATGTATTGGAGATACGAGGATTTGATCAAAAATCACAATTGCTAAAAAAAAAAAAAAATTAAACATTTTAAATTGTACTTATTTTATAAATTTACAAAAATGCTCGATTATTAAACTTATAACAGACTGTTGTAATACATTTCAACAGTAATAACGAGAACTTTTTTATATATAACTTTGAATTAAAATGCATTGTGTTAAATGTTATTAAGGCAACTTGGACAGGTATGTCGCAGATTAATTTAATTTTAGGTTAAGAGCCATAAACAATGAATATGCATCGGAGTAATTTAATTATGAATAACCTAATAATTTGTAAACGAAAAATATATTTTATTATTTAAATATTTTTTTAAATAAATAAAATGATTAGATTTTTCTAAGATTTTTAAACATGCATTATGTAATAGATGTCAAGATGGACATGACCTACATTTTTAAAATGATATAAATACATAATACCTATAAATGAATAAAATATCAAAATTATTATTAGTCCTAACTCCTAAATAATTGCCTTGTTTTTAGAACACTCAACATCGATTGGCATTACAACTTTGAATAACTTACAATCTACCTACTGGCTACTATTTACGTTAGATGTCAATCTTTGAGTATACTTTATGACAGCTTATAAAGATATTTATACAAAGACATTTTGGTTGGACTAACAAAATAGTTTCATCTACCTATATTGTATTATTTCTTTTATGTAATAATATATTAATATATTACACTAATTTGATAAATGTTTAAGTAATAACTAAATTCTAGTTAAACTGATACAAAAATTCAATAAATATAAGAAAAATGTATTAATGGTTTATATTTCTTGATATAAAGATATCAATAAAATAGTTAACTTGTTATTATAAATTAAAAATATGTTCTGACTTACTGATTAACAACTATGATTAGAAAACAATATTTAATTCATAAGTTTTTTAGTAAATCCCATCGACGTTTTCACGCGTTTATTATGGACAATTTTATCGAAGTTTTTAGAAAAATATAATAGTTCTGTGTAACTTACATGTATACCTACTATGTTATTACTGTTTTAGATTGTTGCATGATATTACGAAATTATGTAGAAAACAAAACAAATAAATAAAATCAAGTTGACGTAGATCTGCTATAACTACTTTTTATAATTATTGTACAATTGAAAGATAAGAACAATTTTTGGTAGGTATATATCGATTTTTCACTATGTAAATTAGAATATTATGTGATCATTTTTTTTTTTTTATTACCATTGTAAGGTTTGTTTTTAAAATAATATTATTTGAACTATATGCATTTATTTCTAACTAACAAATAAAATATAACAATAGTAATGTTTGATAAGTTGTTTAGACAAAATTGATTTTTGAAGAAAGCAGTCTTTTTAAGCTGTCTTTCTATACATTTTTTACATTGTTCAGAATCAAATTGTTGAATTTGGTGTTGAAGACTATAATGTTTCAAGAAAAAAAAAAAAAAAATTATAATAATAATTCGTACTTATGTTATAGATTAATGGTTAAGTGAATTTCAGCTGGTCCATAATGTGGAAGATAGACTAACGCGAAGCTAATATAATTTCAAAACTAAAATTGAGCACAAAATTCTAATTATATCGTAATTTTAAGCATAAATAATTCACAAGTTATGAAAAGTGGTGCCCGGTCATGCATAGTTAATATATGCCTTATAATCTTTCTAAAAACAGTAATCTAAAAGTATCTGCATTAATGTATTTATTCATCAAAA